TTTCACATAAAACACATAACTTTGGTGTCTCAACTCAACCATAAGTGCCAAAAGCCTACACCGACTCTCCAATCACACTCAATGGACTCTAGTGGACCATGCAATGCACCATTCACAACCAAAAACACATATATCCCAAATTCACTACAAGACCTTAATTTTCACTAAACATAAAGGGGAGGAAATTCATGCACAAAACTATCATTGTCATATCAATTCATTCAAAATATACATATTTCTACTTGCACAAGTATTTTGGCCCTATCCATGGACTTATAACCCAAACTCACTAATCCAGGGCATAAAATATGCAAATTGTACTATATAGTAATGCAAGTAGCACAAAAATGATAACATGTGATCTAGTTAGCAATTATACAACATTAATACACAAAAATAGAATAAAGGCATAGAAGTAGGATTTTCATCACAATCCTATACCTTAGAATGTTTTTCCCGAACTAGATTTGATGAGTTAGGCCTTGAAAATATTGAGAATTGAGAGGTGAATACAACCACTCAATGATCAAATTTCACCTAATCTACACAGTTGCATATCAATTATAAACAAATACAAATAGGCAAAAACACACTATCACAGCATATATAATGAACTTAGCCACAGTTCATAATACTAACAATTATGGGACCGGGTCCAAAACACATATAATCATATTAATTTATAATGCACCACACGGGGTCGCAAAAATACCAACCATGTGTCCCTAACACATGTTGGACCACAATACTAATTAACAATCATGTGACTGGATTTATATGCATGATTAAATGCTAACCTTGTATCCTCTTGTTACCTTCGATACAAAATTAGTGGCTATCACGTGGCTATGTCCTTCATGGATTAACCCAGCCTTTCACTTGTAAGGAGCTATCAGATTGAGGTTAACTCACTCACTTATATAATTCAGTTTCTCCCAATACTAATAACCATGGGGTGTCGTGCCCCCAATCTAGTCTCCTCATGAATTAGTAGAGACTAATTAGATTCTAGTCTCCTATAAAACAAGTGAGATAGCCCCGAATCAACTATGTGATAAGGGCTGCCTCCTGATTCCAACGGTTATTGCCAAGGCAAGTTTCTGATTCCAATGGTCACTGCCAATACCATATGAATTTTAACCATCTACTTCTTTTCCTACACAAGCTCCCGCCAATGATCATTCGATGCATGTATAACACATTCATACAATTCAATCATCAACCACATATGATGGATTTATATATCCATAATCACATACCCACTAACTCCACATGCCAAATACCATATTATCATCAATTTCACAATAGCAAACCATTAATTAAAATCGTTGCTCACTAAATGCAAACTTATATAAGGTTCACCATTTTTTTGAAATCATTTCTAACCAATTCATCACCCTTTCAAACATGCCCAATTTGCATCAAAATTTAGAAATATAAATCACATCTCAATTTAATCATTTCAATAAACAAACAATTGATGTTCAACTATATAAATTAGGTTTTTCCCAGTTACCTCAAACCTTTGAAAGGTAAAAGGTTTACCTTTCATACAAAACAATTTCAAAGCTTCTCAAAAGCTTGAATGATGCCACAATGATTCACACTACAATCACAACACAAGGATATCATCATTATCCCATTTTTGTGAGTTTACCATATTAATTTTCACTTCTATTCTACCAATCCCTAAACTCATTACCCATTTACACCTAATGGGTTCATTAGGTTCCATTAACTCACATTATCATTAATAAATCCATAAGCCACCATTAATGGTCCACCAATACTCCCAACAACTATAATAATGGCAATTTTTGGATATTAATTACTCTACCCAACAAACCATACACAAAGTCATTATTATGGGGTTTAACTATCTTAAACAACTTCCATTATATCCATTTTAACCAATGAAATCGGACTTATAACTTGTATGAACTGAAAATCACATTTCTAACTTAAACCTTCATAAATGTGGGAAAGAGAGGAAGATGAGAGCATAGATTACTTACTTTAGGTATTTGAGAGCTTTAAACTATCACCAAGGGTCTCAATGTACGTGCCCTAGCAGAGCTTAAACATGTTCTTCATTTTCTTCCTCTCCTTTCTTTTGAATTTTTGAACAAATACAAGCCTGATATATCAGATTTTTGGTCATGCGCCTCAACGCACGTAGCCCTCCACCACAGCACCTAGCACAGAGAGGCCTGTTGCATTTAAATCTACCTTTGTACTTCACGACGGATTGACCACACGCTAGGGCATGTGGCACAGAGGGCATTCCTTCACTTTTTCTTCCTTCTTGCTTGCTTAGTGGTCCGTCATTAATTCAAACCCACTTCTAGAGCTGAAATCACAATTAATTATACCAATTAGGCCCTTATGGCCATACACCTCATTAATTCACTAATTATGCTCATTGAGCTAATAAATTATGATTAAATTTTCTTAGATGTTACAGCCGTTGCTGCTAACTGGGAATGGGCCGTTGCTGCCAACTGGGACCGGATGAATGGCACCAATTAGGACCAAACTACTGACTTCTATTAGGATTGAATCGCCGATGCCAACTGAGATTCGAGGGTAGGTAATGGTCGGGACTAAATAGTTGACTTCCATCAGGATTGGACTGTTAATGCTGACCTGGACTAGAGTATAAGTGACGACTGGGATTAAGACTGAACAACAGACTTCCACCGAGACAAGATCACCAGTATAGGACCACTTGCAGTAACCAGGATTGGACCACCAGCGCAAACTAAGACTAGATAGCCGCTTACTAGGATCTGATGGTTGGCTCCCATCATGACTAAGACCAAGCTAATGACCTCGACTAAGAATAGACCACTAATGGTCCTTTCCCAATCGGTTCCAGCAGTCCTTTCTGGTCGGTAATGACTGTGTGATTAAGGTCATCAATCCGGTCCTGGTCGAAGTCATTTACCCTGATCATGTTAGGATCCAGTCGTAGGAGGTTTTGCAATCTTAGTCAGCTCCTGTAATTTGGTCTTAGTTAGCACCGACGGTCCAATCTCACATTGTTGCCTACACTCTGATCCCATTTAGTGATGGCGATCTTGTCCTGATCGATGTTGACAATTCGATCTCGGTGAAAGTTGGCCTACTGGTCCCAGTTGTTGTTGGTGGTACGATCCTAGTGGATGTCAGTCGTTTAATCCTAGTAGGTGCCAACAGTTCAATCTCAGTGGAAATCAGTCATCTAAACTTCCAACTTTGACTAGGACCGGATTATCGATATTGTTCGAGTTACTTATAAATTCAGATATATAATTCAAAATTTGAAATTTTACTTAAGATCCAAACAAAGAATTTTAATATTATAATTTAAAATTTTTTTATGTCACCCAACAAGGAATTTAGAATCTATATAAATTTTAAATGTAAAATTTTAAATCTAAATTTTCAACCCAAATCCACCTATCCAAATGCAACCTAAGGGAATTTAGATTTGAATTTAGGCCAAATTCACCATTTGGGTCCATAAAAAATTATAAATTTAAATTTGTTCCAAATATAAAATTCAAAATTTTATACTAAATTCTTAGTAATTTTAAATTCCTCCGACATCCTAGCTATTTAAAATGCTAGATACTCTAACCCTCTTATCTTTTTTTCATTTTCATTGTGCATTTTCCTTTGAAATTGAATTTTTTTTAATACCATTCAATCAAAGAAATTTGAATACATGAATAAAATGCAAGATTTAAAATCTAAAATCTAAATGCAAATCTAATAAAATGAGTAAACATTACACTCTAAGGTAGTGTTTGAATTGATAGATTTGGATTTAGATTTTAAATTTAAAATCTCTTATTTCAAATTGATATATTTAAAATTTTTTATTTAAGTAGTTTACAAATTTTCAAATAAAGAAGAGAGATAAGTTGATATTAAAAAAATGAAAAACTAAAATTGATGAGTTTATCTCTATTTTTGAATCAATGAAAGACAACAACAAGAGACAAAAATATATGAAAATCATAGACGCATCAGTAGTAAAAACACTAATAAAAAGAGATTTGATATGACTAAAATTTTAAATGACGAGGATATAGAGGAAATTTGAAATTACAAATAAAAAATCCATTTCTTATTATATTTTTTGTGTTTTCAAATAAGAGATTTGTCTGAATTCAAATCTCAATTCTAATTTCCATTAATATAGACATACCATTAAGGATTTATAATGGTCAAATGTCAAATTGAGCAGATCAAGCTGAGTAGGCTGGGTAATCTGAAATTACTTTTATGTTTTTCCCCCCTGTATTTCTTCAAGTTTAACAGCATTCTAACTTGTATTATATATTTCTCTGCAAGTCAAATTTATTGAAATCAATATATTAACCATGCAAGCAAATCATATTTTCTTACGTTAAGAAAATATATCATGTATAATTAGTATGATAGACACTAATTATATGAAAACTAGGAAATATGTGCTCAATACATGAATTTCTCATTTTGCTAAATAAGCTGAAAACTTATCGTATACATGTTGAGTTTTCATGCTCTAGTTGCCATCATAGACACACACATGATTAAGTTGCCATTGTTTTCTCCCATCTAGTTTGCTCATTTTGCTCATAATGTTGCCTCTTATGTGGGACTTAGTAAGGGTTATATTGTTTCTTTGTAACTCACCTTAAATAGAAGAGTTTGTTTGTGTTTTTATTGTCATTTGTTGAGTTGATTAATGAAAGGTTTTCATCATCTTTATGATTAATATTCTTCTTCTTTTAATCCTGTTACCATCTTTATTCTGATCAATGCTTATGTAAATATATAATCCTCTTCCGCAATTCTTCTTTGTAATTTACAGGAATGAAAGCAAGGATATTCAGAATATTGTGGAGCATGTTTGCAATATATTGGCCATGGAAGAAAATTTGTTTGTAGCAAACCACCCAGTTGGAATTGGCTCTCGCATTCAAGAGGTGATACCATTGCTCAAAAACCATCAATCAGAAGATGTTGTCATGGTAGGGATATGGGGAATGTCCAACGTAGGCAAAACAACTTTGGCCAAAGCCATTTATAATGAAATGGATCGCACATTTGAGAGAAGGTGTTTCCTTTCAGATATTAGCAGAGAAGTTTGGGAGCAAGGTAATGGCGTCTTAGTGCGTTTACAAAACCAACTGCTTCTTGAAATATGTAAAATAACAAATATGAAGATAAATAGCATTGAAGAAGGAACAATCACATTGAAGTATAGACTTTGCCATGAAAGGGCATTTGTTGTGCTTGATGGTGTTAGAGAACATGAGCATCTAAATGCTTTATGTGGAAGTCATGAATGGTATGGTCAAGGAAGTATAATAATCATCACTTCTGTAAATATGATTCTACTCTCAAGAGTGCATTATACATATGGAGTGAGATTTATGTGTAAAGATGAGTCTATTGAGCTTTTCAGCTGGCATGCATTTAAGCAAGCAAATCCGGCAAAAGAATTTATTGGACTTTCTAGCGGTATAGTTGCTTTAGGGGGAGTGCCACTAATGCTTGAAGTCCTGGGCTCTTATTTGTTTGGTAAAGAAGTGACAGAGTGGAAAGTTGCATTGGAGAAACTAAAAAGAAATCCTGATAAAGATTTACGAGACATATTAAAAATAAGTTTCGATGGTTTAAATGAGGAAATGGAGAGGTAAATATTTCTTGATATAGCTTGTTTTTTGATTAGGAAGGACGTGAATGATGTGACACAGGTATCCAATGGCTGTGGAGTTGATACTCGTATTGCTATAAGAGTCCTTGAGGAGAGAAGCCTTGTCACAATTGACAAGAACAACAAACTTAGAATGCATGGTTTGTTGCAGGACATGGGAAGAGATATAATGCGTGAAAATACACAAAATGGGCTTCAAAATCGAGGTAGGTTCTGATTTTGTGAGGATATATGTGCTTCTTTTGTTTTTTTGTTTTTTTTTTTCCGTCATGAGCGTGCATGTGCTTCACGTGTTATTAAACATGCATGTAATAGTGATAATTAATATTATTATCCATAATATATATTTGACATTTTGTAATCCTAAATGATAAAATTTTGATATTTTTTATTGTTTTTAAATATAACATTCAGGTCATATGTATGAGGTGTTTTTGAGTTTTAGAGGTGAAGACACCCGATCAAATTTTACTTCACATCTTTATTCTGCTCTATGTAATGCTGGCATTATCGTTTTCCAAGATGATGTTGAGCTTCCCAGGGGAAATCATATCTCAATCGAATTGTTGCGAGCAACTGGAAGTTCAAAAATAGCAATCATCATCTTCTCTAGAGGATACGCTGAATCTAGATGGTGTCTGGAGGAACTATCAATAATCATGGAGAATCGCATATCAAATGATCACGTGGTTTTTCCTGTGTTCTATGATGTGGACCCATCAGAAATTCGTAATCAGACTTCTAGTTTTGGAAAAGCATTTAAAGATCTTGTACAAAAAATTTCACCACCAAAAAATCAAGTTGTAAAGTGGAGGGCAGCCCTTCTTGATGCCGGAAACATTGCAGGGTTTGTTGTCCTTGGTTCCAGGTACTTTTTCAATCTTTGTTTGCTTTTAATTATTCGAAATAGATATCACTGACCACATTATTTGGAACACGACTCAATTTCACTTGTTCCTTCCTAGGTGGAGTTTCAATTGCATCTTTGAATTAAAATTTTACTTTTACAGTTTTAAATTATTCAATTTACAAAAGTTACATATTGTAAAATTCTCAATATAATATTGGTGTATGTATTGTTAATATCCTTGAATATTATTATCAAACCTACAATTAATTACTAATATGCATAAATTAATTAAATGTAGTGCGATACAAATAATCTCTACAAAAATATGAGATCTTTCTTATTCATATATTCAATATTTTAAACACACACACACACACACACGGCCTTAATATCTATTGGACATGTGTTACAATAAACTTCATATTATGCATCTACAAGAGGTAAAACTAGTTCAAGAATATGGATAAGAACGGAAAACATGCACAAATCATAGTGAATGTGAACGTATAACTAAGAAAATATTATTAATGTGTTTGTAAGTTTATCTTGGAGGCTTAGAAAATAATTAGGGCTAGTGTACTCCTCTCATAATCATTAGCTCATTATAAAAATCAGCTAGGGACATGATATATTTGTTATCATTAATTTTGCTTCATTCCAAGTAATTTTTTATATTTTTTTACTTCTGAATTTCTAATATTGCAACTAATTAACCATTTGTGTGTGAATCAACTTCTTATTGCAAATGAAGCCTTTCTTTTGTCAAAATTATAAATTTACCCATGCATTGCTTGAAGCTTCAAATAAGCTAATCGCTGTTTAAAAGAGGAATGGCTTCCATCCAATGATTTTATATAGATACATGGATATAATTATGATGGGATCAAGACCATAACCAGGATGAAGAAAAAAGTTTTGAAGCATATTTGAACATGTGACAAATATTTGAAGATTTGAACATGAAAAGATTAAAAAAAATGTGCTTGTTGAGATACAAATTAAATTTGAATGAAAGAAAAGAACATCATGAATATTATGATTGAAAGTAAGAATAATATAATCCCTCATTTAAAGGATTTACACCAATCCCTAAAATCACTTTGAAGTGAAACGATGAGGTTAATCTCAGACCTTTCTTAACCTCCTTATTGAGATAGGACGCAACCCCCTAATTTCTAATGGAATGTGATGCCCTTAATCACAGACTTTTGTTAACACTAATCAGTCTAACTAATCCAACAATAACAATATAATATTCCAACAGTGCTTTCTTTGATTAATTTCCTACAATGTTTTCAGGTTATTTTAAAATCAACTTTATTGATATTTGTTTAAATTACTTAAGCATACGCTACCTAAAACCTCCTGCTTGGACGCCTTATATTTAAATGAATGAAATTATAAGTTTAAATTGCCTTCTCTCATATTTCTCCTTGATTTTGTTTGTCGTGTCTCCTTCACTTCTCTTCTTTCCTTCCTTCTCCTCATTCTAAATCTAAATCATATACAGAGAAGTGATATTTGTTCATAATATCTCCTCTTCTCCAAACAAGCGCACCTTTCAAAATCTTGACTTTCTTTATTTGTAATCCTTGTTATGTCACGCCCTGAAATTTAGGCATGACTGGCCCAGGATATATACACAAACATATATCCCTTAAGCCCAAATCAAGAAAACTCTAACTTAATATCTTAGTTTATCTGAAATATGATTGGAAATCATAGTAACATTTCCACCTAAATAAAATATTTTAAACTTTCTATAGAAATTTTGGCAAAACTTTTTCTCTAAATAAGACATCTTGAATTTCTACAACAATCATTTATAGACAAATTACTAATACGGAGCTTTACTCCTCAACAACAAACAATCAATATAAATTTACAAATCAGAATCACATCTATAGTTAATGTGGAGCACCTGAATTACAATCTCTAAATAAAGTACATAATTGAATATATACCTAAAAAGAAAAAAAAATTCTCAAAATAAATATTCACCTAGCTCCACGGCAATCCTTTCAGTGATCGACAATTGATTCAGCATCAGCTAATGAATCTGAGACCAAAATATTTTCCAGTGAATAGCATTCCCAAAATATGAAATTTAAAAGAGTAAAAATGATAAACTCAAACAATTATATAAAATAATCAGAGAAATGATGATTCAATATAATAAACTTAATAAATCTGCAAATCTTAATCATAATCATAAAATAAGAGTGTATTGAAATTGCTTTATTCTTTTATGCCTGAAGAAAATAAATTATCCATATGTAAATTAAATTAGTACACTTGCTAACTGAAACCACTGAAATTTCAAATACACAAGTTGATTAAAACTTTAAAACTTTGAGGACTTAACAGAACAGGTAACAAACGTAAACACACAGTCCACGAGGGTAAATAACTAAACGCGGTGAATGCCATGAAAACAAATGTGGACACACAGTCCACGAAGGTAAGTAATCAAACGTAGCTGAAACTACGAAACAAACGTGGACACACAGTCCACGAGGGTAATGCTGACCAAATGCGGCTCAAAGACACGAAACAAACATGAGTACGATGTTCACGAATAATCATCCCTCCGTTCCACATGTGTTGGCCATCGCACGGGGCTAGCACCTCCTATAAACACCCTGCTAGTTAGGTGTACCATGGCTCGCCAAGGGCTAACGGGACTGCCGTTAGCAACCGGTGTTCTATATAAAGTCTTCTAAAAATCACTTTTCAAACATGCGAGAAGAATCATTTTTGAAATACAATTTGCATTCTCAATACCAAACTCACATGAATCATTTCAAATCTCAAAGCTTGTTATAATAATATTTTATAGCTAATGTACAAGCTTGTATTAGTTGAGTAACTAAGAATTTTCAGAGTAAAATAAACAAAGATGCCTTTATCAATCTTGAAGTGTATTTCTTAATGAAAAATACATGCAGATATCATAATTTAATTATTCTTCATCATTATTCTATAATTTCCAAAACTAAAATAATTTAATTAACAAAGTACTCACTAATCATAGCAGTTGTAAAAATGATTTATATAAAGATGCAATATTTTCAACAACAGACTACTTTTATTGGTAAAATAATGGGGGTACTATTCACCTGATAAATTTTTTAAATAAACAACTTATTCTAAATTGGTCCTCCTATCACAATGCTTGGTCACTAAATCCTAATACTAGGTAACATCATTTGTCATTTTCTTTTATAGATTTTTATTATCCAAGATCTTCAATCTAAAATAACTCACAAAAATAATACAAATTTTCACTTCAACTCCTCCCCTCACATTGCATCAAACATTCCATAAATATTCAAGTGATCAATTCACGAATAGCAATTTGGTACTTGAATTATCAATGAAAGTACCCTTTTCAAAAATCTCTATTTCCATTTTCCAGCATACACTGAAATTATTCCAATCAGGCATTTTATTGACCATCTTGTATGCATTAAAATTCAAACAAATACCAAGCTTTCCCTTCTCAATTCCCTTCCTAAAATTTTTTCAAATAACAATATTTAGACTAATCAAGCTTCTCAAAGTATACCCTTCAACAAAAACATTAGTTTTAACTTCAAAGGAAAAAAAATTGCGATTAGTCTCTATTGACAGTAACCCAAGACAACTATATTGAAATCAATTCAGTTTACTCAATTGTTTTTATTTTCTTTCTTTGTGTGTGTGTTTTTTTTTCTTTTTTTTTTAACTCACCATAGACTACGGTAGCCAAGAAAAGAGAGGCGTAAGATTCTGAACATCAATTACTCCTGCTTATCACGCACAGTAGCAATCAAAAATAGGAAAGATCACAGCCCAACCTAACACACACTCACGGGATCAGGGAGGAGGAAGAGAAAAGACTCGCACCTCAAGTTAGCAATAGCAGAAAGGAACGAAGAACAGCAATGGCAGAGGCAGAAGCAGAGCATCCACCAGACAGGGGAAGAGGGATGATCACAAATCGAGACCCTCTACAACAACAAATTAGCTCCAACAGCATGGACTTGAAGACCCCAACACGACACTATCAAAGGAGGAAGAAGAACAGTGACCGAAGGGAGGAGCTAGGGAGAAATCAACAGTGTTCCAAGGAAGAATACTCACAGCTCAGT